ATGCGAAAAGTGAGACCTCGAAGATATCGCCATCTAACGTTGATGGTGGTTACGGACCGAGGGCAATGTGACATCACGCATATTATGCAACATAAAAGCTGAAATCATAGGGCAACTAAAGCTAGGCAAGCTTTATGGCATTATGGTACAAACATCAAAGTTATTTGATCGCATTACTAATGATGGTGGATCTATCCGACTAAGTTAGGCTAATCATAAGAATAAAAAAAAAAATGCAAAGATAGATCTTAGAGGATATCCAACTGAGAAGGAGGGACTAACATTACAATTAGAAAAAAGGGAAAGGAAAGAACTTTAAATCGCACGCCAAGCCATCGTTGTTTGAATTATGAATGACTTGGAAGGCTTTGTAATAAAGGTATCGTGAAAGATATCGAACATAAACGGCCTACAACTGGGAATCAAAGAGAGTGAGGAAGAGGAAGAAAAAGATTGAAGAAACCCCTTCTAATTTAAGAATTTCAGGTAGAAGTTTTTAAATCAGATTTAAGTCAAACCTACGAAAGATGTCAGCTCCAGTAGCTAATTGACTACGCATATCATGAAGGATATAAAAACCGGCCGAGTTTTCTTAATGGCAATAATTTCCTCTTCTTTACTTCGAACGAAAAATGATTCATTTAGTATCTTCTTCTAAAGAAACCTATCGGTCTCTATGAGTACATGATAAACTGGGGGAATTTAGGAAAAGTTTCGTTTGTCTTTCCAAAGGTTAAAAATGCCATAATATTTAATGTTTATTCCACATTTTCACTTACCATCATCTTAAACCATATGAATTATCATCCTAAAGAGACAATAATAAAAATCTGAAAAAGGAAATAAATCTACATTTTTCCATAATTTTCTCCAATAATTGTCGAAGATGTTCCGCAATCCGCAGAGAGTTAAACCAGTTTTTGTTCTCCTTGTTGCGGTTGTTCTTGAGTTGTAATTAATATTAAATAAGATGCTTTAAGCGCACAAATACAAATGCATTTATCCGGTTTTGTTCTGCGCGCAACCTACAGTATTTAGATGCGAGAATGTATGGCATGCGATATATATGTGTATATCTATATATATATCTGTATAGTGGCCATTAAGATAGGAAAGTGTATTAATTTTATGATATCGCTTGTAGGTATCATCCAGAAATGTAGGTGGTTATGACTTTCAGTAGCATTACAGCTTTAATAAGTTGACTTAAATCCGCAAATATTCGCTGAGTTTGCAAATTTTATATATTAGGCTAACACATCAAGGATTAGAACTCAAAGCGAAATTGCAAGAAATGCCATTCTTCATGCGAGAAAAGCTTTAGCGCTTAGTTAAGGGGATTAACCAATCGCTATTTTGATCGATTGCAATTTTCGGGCGTTCACCACGCACCGCGAAACAATATAAAGTTGAATAAAGTCATTGGGTTGGCAAAGTAAGTGAGAGTGCTTCTAAAGTTTTACCGCGTATTAACTCGACGAAAGTTTGGACAGGAGGACATCACTTGCAGGTATTATGCGAATTGAAGAAAACTGCTTTGTTTGCCTTGATGGCTTATCTCGATTGAGCTATGTGTGTCCGGCCGTCCCATGTTTGTTGACACATTAAAACACTTGAAGAAGCTAAGATGAAAATTGACGGATTATGAGAAGCATGTGCAAGCGTAAGATTGAACGGTAATACCGCACACATGAACGCTAAAAACACCTCAATTGTAACTGATATTTTCATATTAGTATCCACTCGAACAAAACTTGCAGTTTATAATCCAAATTGTGTAAAGATATAAATAAATCACAACTACATGACTATACGATTACGAAAAGAAAAAACAAAGTGTTTGTAGGCGAGTGGAGGTGAGTATCCAAGATTCGCCATAAGGCAACTAAAACTTTCTTATATGTTTTTTGTTATTATTTGTATACAATTGATTACATGCCATAGCACGAAATGTAACACATATCAACTTACATTTAGATGCTCTAGAATTCCGTTTTTGCTTTTATGTCTTCAAGTGTCTTGTGTCTTTAATCTTTTCCTTGTTTTCTTAGTCATGTGCTAATGCTTTTCGCATTTACTTTATTTGTGAATGAAACGTCTGCCATTTACTCGCAAAGAACGATGCTACACCATGTCGACCGTTCTAATACTGTTTCGCTTTCACAATAACATCTTTCCTTTATGTCCACGTATACGCGATGATTATAGGGGTCAATATAAAAACATTTAAATTCTTTACACCAAAAAAAGGAAAAAAAAACAAAAAAATGCTCTTTTTATAAATTTATTTATACGACAAAAGAAAGATAAATACAAAGAATTCCGCTTTATTCAGCAATGAGCGAAGGATATGCAAAAATTGTATTATTCCGTACTCCGCAGAGACCGCCTAAAATATACATGGTGTTGAAAGCATGAGACGCTGAGAAGTTTGCGTTAGTCTGCCTGTCCGACCAACATTTTTCCTAGAGGGGTGAGGAAGTACGCAGACCAAGTCTGCTAAGTCAAGCGGATGCACATCGAGTCTTTGTTAATTGTGGACGTGCCATTTAATTAGACTATGTTTCATAGGAGTTCAAAGTTAGTAAAAACACTTTAAAGTTTTAGTTTTTTTAGTTTTTTGAGCACGTTAGGTTTTTTAAGTGCGGCCTTAACTGCATATTTATTTTTCAATTCGATCCGTATACCCCGTACAAATACATACGTACCACAATACTTTAATCGACATTTTTTTGAGTCCCGAGAATTTGCGAAATAGGTGAATGCACGCACGTAGACGGTTATCTTTCATGGCGAGTTCAAATTAAATATTTTTGAAAATGACCTAAAAAGCAAAAAGTAGAGGAACGAAATCGTAAAATTGTAGGTAGTGTGTAAATAGTTCTATTATTGACCGATATAACTGACCTGACTAACATAACTAATATGGTTGACACAGCTAGCTTGACTGACTGGATGACTGACATGGGTGAAAGTATTGGAATGACCTGCATGGCTAGCATGGCTAACACGATTGATATATCCCTAAATGGACGACATGACTCACGTGGCTGGCATGACCGATATGCTGAATATGATTGACATTTCTGCTACGCCTGCTATTACTGGTACGACAAACAGGATGTATACATTAATTAAAGTGACTAACTTGGCTAACATGAATAAAATCCCTATTTGTTTAACATGGGTGATATGACTGACATGGGATTGTCACGAATGGTATGGTTGGCAAGCCATGAGCCGGGCATGACTGGTATGACTGACTTGACATCATTTCTAGTGCTCACGCTAGATAATATAATGTTTGACCATAGAAGTGGACAGAGCAGTATAAGCACATCATCTCCAAAAACTTAAAAGATAAAGGGATCGGCGTAATTTAATCGCTTCTTATTAAGGTTGCCAGAGCTTGAAGGTTCGTTTAGCTGAAGAAATATTTAAGCCCAATCGTGCTTTCAAATCACATAGAAAGATATGACGGCATGACTAGAACGTTTTTGCCTGTTACTTACACTCACTAAAATATCTGCATTTAGACGGAGGCATCGACATTGTCCAAATATTTCTATTTGAGCTGCTTAGCAACCCAACTCATGCGGACGCATGGAGCGACACGATTTAGAATGTTAAAAAGTTAACTGAAATGTATCTAACAAACGCGTAAGTACGATATTCACGGACGGACATATAGACCAAAACGATTGAAGGGTTTCTAATGCTTAAACTAGTTCATGTCATATGGATGAGTGGTTCAGTAATTTGGGGGAATTAAGAAAAATGTGCTCCAAGACGGATTTTCATGTTTCACATGGCAAGAGGCGTAATTGCATTATTTATGAAAAATTCGCAAATCTGGAAAATTTTAAGTTGTCTAAAGATAACAATGAGCAATACAATCGTTCTCACATTAAGTGGATTGTAGAACAACATAAAGAAAAGAAAAGAAGATAAAAAAGAAAAACGAAATAAAACCTCTATTGTACAGCAGAGTTATAAGCCTTTAATTTAATGTTATCGCCGCCTAATTAAAATCCCTTTTATGGAGATGCAGTGTTAATGAAAACAAAAGACTCTAAACAACAAACTCCATGAACCAAAAAAGTATGGGAAAAAGAAGAGAAGAGAGTGCCAATAATAAAAATGCATGAGAAACGTATGCAGACAAGTGTTTAAATATTTCATTTTTCTTTTCCTAACGCATTAAGAGAAAAATGTGTTAAAATTGTTTTCGGCTTTATATTGTACTTGATGATGTAGTAGTGGAGTAAGCTTTGAGCAATTTGTTGGTTCATATTTTACTAACGGTACGGGTTTATGTTATGCTCTTGCTATGTTATGTTTTAATTTTGAGTTTAGAAATAGCGGTAAATTTAAGTCAACAGAATGTTATAGTATACTTTACAAGTTAAAAAATGGCCATAGGATGCTTACACTTGCACAGCAGGTTACGCTCGCTATGATATACATTTTTATTGAATAATGTTTCTTTAAAGTTTTTATTCAAATATTAACAAAAGTGATGAAATCTGATCAACATCATTTCTGAAGGGAACTTATAGCTAAGTTATTGTGATAAATTTTCGTTAGTTGGCCTCCAGAACCCTTCAATCATATATCCGCTTAGCGTTTTTCAAGTCTACTGTAGCGATCTATAGAACATGTTATGCATTGTAAAGAATAACAACGATACAAAAACCAGTTTCCCTAGGATCTATAGAAACTGCATGTAGTATATACGTAGTATGTGATATTTTTTTTTTTTTTTTGCTTTTCTGTTTTTACACCACCTGCTTAGAGCAAAGAAAACAAAAGAGTGCCATAAATAAACTTAAGAGCGCTGAGTGGTATATATGTGTATGGCTGTGTGCTTGTATTAGTGGTAAACAATAAACTGCTACTCTAACTGCAACAAAATATTTGCTCCAAATGATGCCCACAATTGAATTGTGTTGTTCAGTTAGTGAGCAACAGTGGTCTAAAGCGATACATATACGGAAAGTAAAACGCTTGCATTAGGTACAAGATGTTGCGCATGTGTATAACGCAGAGAGATTAAATGAACTTTCAGTTAAAAGTAGACTTGAATGGCTGCATTGTTTCTTCGTCTGCTTCTTTTTCTTTCTTTCATAACAACTTTCGTCGCGCGTCTAAATCGCTGTAATAGAAATAAAAGCTAATGTTATTGTTTTTAATTCATCTCTTCGAGCCGTGTATTAGTTGTGCAAAAATAAATAAAAAATAAAAGGCAAAGAAAACGTCAAGAATTCATTAAAATATGAATTAGATGGAATTTCAGTTTACTTAATAACTCAGTTATATATATGCACATACACTTATAAGAAAGTCAAGTAACAACAAATTAAACCAAACCAAGCCAGCAAATCATCTTTGCTTTGAATTCGTAGCCTGTGAAAAGGGAACAAAAGAAATGATAATGACGAACAACAACAGAAAACTTCACTAAAAAGCAAACAACAAAAAATCCAAAACATAGAAATAATAATGAATAAATATACGTATATAACGGCATCAATAGAGTGAAATGTTTGTGTAAATATTCACGAAAAAAACCACAAAAAGAAAAAAACGGTGCCAAATCGGTATAAATTAAATCGTCTACCATTTCATTTTCACTGTGCGTCCGTCTTAAAGTAAGCTATTCCGCCAGAGAATTTTAATGAGAAAAAATTTTTTTTCAAAACTTATTATATCCAGAATCAAGTGAAGCGAATATACTCCTCCCCTTCAAGATACCATCACAACCATCACAACGTTAAGGTAGAAAACTATTTGTGTAAAATTTTTTAACCATAAAACCAAAAATTTTATTGCTCTTTTTTAAGACGTGCACTAAATAACCATTCACTCTTAACACTTGTATGAGTCATAGATAAGGCGGCTAGAACTAGAAATTCTTGGTATACTCTAATAATTTCATAAGCATTTATTTATAAATGCTTATTTTTTTTATTTTCATTTTTTTTGTTAAGCAACAGGAATAAATGCATTGTTCATTTAGAGATACATTAAAAGTGGTAGTAAAAAAATAAAGATTGAACAACATGAACAACAACCTTAACAACAACTTGCTCAACCAGCTTTCATTTAACAATTTCTTATAAAACTTCAATGTAAAGAAAACTCTCTGTCCGGTATTGTATGCAATGTCAGATATGCAAGCAAGTACCTTCGATATCTTTACAAAATCATCATGATTGTGCTCATTAATGAATGTCTGTCTGTTTGTCTGTCCGTGTGTTAAGGTTAAATATGCATCTACAAATAACAGTTAAAAAAATTGCTTTCGGGCCGTTTTGTGTTTTATTGTGCATAAATTCAAAAATCGCTCGCAAAACTTGTTATTCAAGGTTAAATGGGAAACGTTGTTGATTATGTTGAACAGCTCAAAAGGATGAGCCGAGGTCATATTTCTTTCTTTTTTTAACTTATTGCCAGATACATGTTTTAGGATAAACTTAGCTAGTATATGATTTATTTCTTTATCGAGGTTGTGTTCTTATCAATATTTCGGATTCAACATAACCTAAACACAAATGCAAAAATATCGTTAAGAATCGTCTTGTAATAGCCTTTTCTAAAACACCTGCACTTATTACCTGGGTAGTAGTTAAAATCCGCTACTCTCAAGTTGTCTTCACCAGCCTCGATTCTTAATGCAAAAGGGTTGAAGTTACACTTCTGCGAGAATTTCAATATTTAATCATCTGAGATATGAAAATTGCTTATTTAAGTTCTAACAAACAGACGCGATTATACGATAATGAAATGTTTGAGTTACAATCCACCTATCCCCAGTCATAAAGCTTTGTTAGCTAGCCTGAATTATATCCGGGAAAGGACGGCCTTTTATTGGAAATTTTGAAAGAGGAAACCTACTGACCGATCATTAAATAAACTTTATTCCACATGTGCTGCTAGAGGCGATAAGACTGGCACTACGACGGATGCAGCGCATACATTATATGAGTTATTAGTTGCATCCTATAAACACATACAGAAATTAAAGTACAGTTCATGATCCAAGAGCAAAGAAGACGTTTTTCCCTATAGAATGCTAAGTTGGTTCGAACCACCCATGTGTTATATCTCATGTTCCTTTTCAATGCCTTTAGTTTAGAGTCTTATATGACTTGAGTGGAAGTACTTTGATCTAAGGTTAATTTGTTGCTACAATTGTAGTAAGGGTCAGAGAAAATGTTTGTTTAGGTATTTATACTGAAAACAGTCCTTCGGGAGATATTATTATAATTCTCGATTACACCTGAATCGCTTTGAGATAATGTGTCCACTCTGTACCTGAGTAGTTGATTAGTGAACTGTTGATAGCAGAACTATTGACTGGGCATCGACTTTTACCAGGAAATAACATGTTGTGCTCAAAAGCTAAGGCTATTGTGCTGTAGAACAGCGTCTACAGCGGAACTATTAGTCTTGGCTGAGTTAAACTTTTATCTCAAGTCACCACGCAAAACACGTAACAACATCTGTCGAAAGGATAATGGCAAAGATTTTCTAAAAAGTAAAGGCAATTTTGTATTTATTACAAGCTTTGCTTTGTTAAGGAAAATATGAAAAAAATTTTGTTTTCCAAAATATATATTTTTTTCTGATATAGATTTGTAAAGATTTTTTTGACTTTAACTAACTTGAAAAAAAGGTTATAACAGAGAAAATATTTGGATTTACGGAACAAGTTACGGTAAAGGTAGGAAGAGTGATGAATGAAGAGAGAGCGAGAAAGAGTTCTAGTTGGGTAATCAGTGGACTCAGTGATAACTCTAGGAAAACTATCCCTTTTTTACCTCACAAAACAAAAACTAAACATTTTCTGAAAACGGCGGTCAAAAACTAGTAAGTGCCGTAGGAATTTTTCAAAAAATTGATTGTAAATACGATTCTACGATTAATCGACTATATTCCGTATATCGAATTTCTGATTCATATCAAGTTACGCTCTATAAATACAACCTTTAAGATATAAATCGTCCTATATTAAGGTAATAAAAAGAAGAAAAAAACACGCGAAAAAGAAAACCGCGAGGTGATATTATCACTTAAGCAATTGTGTTCAAGGATGCAATTTAATCGCTTGTTTAACTTCATCCAAGAAGAATACAATGAGAAAAATTATTTCGTGTGTTGGCCTCGTAAATTTGTTGATTATGACGGAATGAATATCTGAAAAAACAGAAAACACGCTCATTTAACTGTTTTCGTTCATTTATTCAGTGTTGCCTAGATGTGGCGCCCTCTATTGGCAGCTTGTCTCATTCAAAACCACTAATCGTGCACACATAACGCATAGGCGAATAAATAAGAGTCCGCGGTTACCGATGTTCGCGACGTTGAGATCCCAATGCGGTGGACTGTACTTGGGCGCAGCTAAAGTGAGTGCTCTGTCGGTGAAGGACACGAGGCTGCGATGGTTTTCCCTATCTCTCTTTTTTTTTTGATCATTTCTCTCTGATAATCACCACTTTTTTTCAACATTAATTAAAAATTAATTTAAAAATATATTTTTTAGGGGTTTTTTGTTTTTAATTCTTGTTTCAACATTTGAAAAAAAAACAACATGAGTTTAAAAATAATAAAAAAAAATTTTTGTTCAACAGGAATTTAAAAAAAAAATTCAAAAAAATTAAAAAAATATTTTTCTTTTCATCATACTTTAGTCCTAGCACATATTTCTTTGATCTGAACTAATTATAATAAAAATATATTAAAGTTTACAAGCTATAAAGAACCTGGAACAATGTTTGAAAAAGAAATGCAGAAAGTTTCTTAATAATTGTTTTAAGGGATAGATGAGCAGGAAGCCACCCGTTCAGTCAACGCATAATAGCAGACTTGACGGACAATCGATAGAGCTTTTATGCCCAATGGAATCGTATGTAGAAAGATTTTACCAACAAACTCTCTTATTTGTTTATGTTTTTTTTGTTTATCACTTTTTTTAATTTATATGATAATTCACCTTTTTCTTTTTTTTTTTCTTACTATTATTTTATGTTTTTTATCGTGCAAAACTTCCATTTTTGCATTTAGCAAAAAATTTCTATTACATGCTTAGGATTATTACTTTTTGTGGTTTATTTTTATGTTAATGAGATTTCTTTTAATTCAAAAAGAAAAAATTTCTTTAAAAAAATGTGTTTAAAAGTTTTATAAACTTGAAGCAATTTAAACGTTGTTGTCGCTTAAAACACGAAAATATGTTAAAAATGTGTAAAAAGATCATAATTTTCTTAGTAATACGTTGAAAATGTATATTAATTGAGCATAAATGAAAATCTTGTCTTACATTGAGTCTTGTCCAATGCAAACGCACATATAAGTCAACATGTATTATAAGTGATATATGTATTAGCTGACATAAAACCTAACAAGCACCTGCAATTCTCTTATTATTATTATTATTATTATTATTGTTGTTGTTGTTGTTATACATTAATGCAAATGTTTACCATAAACTGAAACTCGAAAAAGTCATTAAAGTACGCAGACTTGAAAATAATATGCCAGCAGCGAACCACTATTGGATATGTATATGGAACTAGAGACATATTGTATACGTACGTATATGGACTTGCTGCACAATGTGCGTTCTTTATTGCAAAACGATTCATTTACAACAAGTTTGTAAAGATAATGACGCAAAAACTTACAAAAAAAATAAAGAAAAAGAGAAATATTTGCCTTAAAAGCGTGGGAAGTTGAAAAAATTTTGTCTTTTTCAAACAATCGTAGCTTTAAAGCATTAAGAAGAAAACTTATTTCAGATATGATTTTATTGTTCGTTCGAAAAGAAAAGAAAAAAACTCATTATTACAGTAATAAGCTTAATTTACTAAAGTAAATATTTTGCATGTTGGTCATAAATGAAGTAAAACATAATTGCAGTACGGAAGGTTGAAAAGTCCCGGGACTAGGATTTTGTAAACTTTATTATACATATTCGTGCTTTAGAACAATGCTTTCCTTTGACGAAGTATATAATGTCAGGCTGTGCTTGAAATCAACGACTTTTTCTTATTTTTTTCTAGTTGATTAATTGCTGATGAAGCCAAGTCCAAGCAGAAGCTCTTTAAACGAAGACAACTCTTATATATAAATATTCTTTATGCACTTTTTAACAACATATGTCCACCTTCGCCATCCTCATTGTCTGTCGTATCGTCATCGACGATACTCGTTGTGTACTGGAACTAAAACGCACTTCCAAGCAAGCTTGGACTTTTCGATGCAGAATTTCGAGTGGATCTTAAAAGAATTTTTTGAAACAAAACAAAACACCAGGGGCAATGCCATAGATGTGATTGTATATACCAACAAGGCGATAAGAAAGAGAAAGTGTGCAAGAAAGAGAAAGTGTGTGAGAGGGAGAGAGAGAGAGAGAGAGAGAGAGAGAGAGTCTACGCACGGTAATCATTTATTGGTTTCGGGAGGGTTTGCACACAAACTCGATAGTTGCGCTTTCGAATTGCGTAACTATGTCTAGCTATTTGAGTGGTTAATAGAAGTCCATTAAAGTGATTTAAGGTACTTACAAGCCTCCACTTACCTCTTACTCCGGTCACAATCATAGTTTTATCAGCGTGTGACATAATTAATTTAACTGAAAATTATTTCGATCGGGCAGAGTTTTCATAGCAAAAACGGAATCAAAACAACAACAACAAGTATCGGCACGGAGAAATTCTAGACCGTGAGTTTTAATATTACTACCCTTTTCTTATAATTTTTTTGCGAAAGACAGG